TAGACGGTGTAGGCAACAACTCTATAAGTAGGTGTTAAACAATCCTTCCTGACTAATATGAGCTCCAAGTTTAGCCATTAAAAGTTGTGTTCCATTTCAAATTCAAGATGAAATATTTGTACTCCTTGTAAGCATCATACACACTCTCACTTTCAGCTTTAGCTCATGACTCGGGGAACAAGAATCAGGGGCGGACGTACATGTCCATCAATGGGGCATGTGCCCCAAACAACTTGTGAACTTTTAGTGTTAATATGTAGGATATACATAGGATTTTAGTATAAAAATTGGAAGTGCCCCCAATTAAAAAATAAGTGTGCCCCCAACTCTTATTTTACGAAAAGTGAAAATATTCTCACCAAGCCAATCTTCCAAATGCAACTAATGAATTAAAGAATTGTGATGGCTTCTTTTTGTTAATCATTATTCTTCTTTAGTATTTTATTTTTGTATTCCGTATATTTTACAAAAATGTGACTAAAGTTATTATGAAGTTTTTTCCCGAAGAAGATGAACTCTTGATTTTCAATCGGGAAGGCCGTCAAATGATTTTTGGAAGTTAACTACGTTTTATATGTATGATTTGAGCGCAGTTAACTCCTGAAAATCATTTGACGGCCTTCCCGATTGAATTTTTAGCTGAATTATGTTTTGGATAAATTAGACTTGATGAAGAACATGCCATAAAAATTTCATCAGAAAATTCCACCGGAAAGGGCCCCAAATGACACCGTCCGGACGGCAGTTCCGGTCAGGAATTCCTGACCGGAAGAGTACTATACACACACACAGAGAGAGAGAAAAAGTTTGAGCTTAATATTTTAAATATAAAAAGTATTAGTTGTGAGATTAATTTTGAAGTTTTTTAAAAATATACAAAGTATTAGCTGTGAGATTAATTTTGATTTTTTTTGCATTAGTTTTAAAGTTATACATTTGATTAATATTTGTTGTAAATCTTTTAAATGATGCCCCCAATAATATCTTTTCTTGGATCCGCCACTCACAAGAACATCTCATACTTTTAAGGAATTAAGGACTATCTTATCTTATGTAAGTGGTCGCCACTTGACTAAATGAAGATGGTGAATCAAAACTCAGATAAGTGTTTAATTTTGAATCCATGTGTAACAACATGTAAACACGGTCCTTATTAATTTTATCTACGAAAAGAACATCATCTACAATCAGAGCAAGAATAACTCTGTAATAAAGATATAGGCCACGCTTTGAATTAACAAGTCAAGATAAATATTGTTAGTGACATCATTTTAGTTCTTTTTAATCAAGTGATACTAAAAAAGGAGGAGAACAAATTCCCACAAAAATATATTAGAAAACATGTATTGCCTCCGTCACCTTTTAGTTAGTCATCCTTGACTTTTACAGTCAAAGATGCTACACTTTGGCTGACAATATATTTATATTCGAAGATAGTTTTAACTAGAAAATGATATGAAAATGTTTATCATTAAAAGTACTACCATAAAAGTATAAAATCTATAAGCTTGAAAATATATATTATTAAAATGATTGATCAAAGTTGACCATCATTGACTGAAAAAAGTCAAAGTGGAAATAAAATTGCTTACTAAAAAGTGATGGATGTAGTACATCTCAGCTTTATATAACAATTAGTCACAAAACCGCTATAAGTTTTCTTAAACTTGAAACAAAACCATCCTTTAGAGCATCTCCAATGGAGCTCTTTTGAAATTAAATTTTTTTGCCACATCATCAATTTAAGAACTCTGGTGTTTTTTTTATCTCCAATAGACTCTTTTACGGTCCCTTTTAATCTAACCTGTACCAACGCTTTCAACTTCTCTGTTGGTTTTCTGAAAGCACGTTTCAGTCTGTGAGAGTCATTTAAGCACAATTTTGTGAAGAAAAAAGCCCTCCATCTCTGAAAAAAGTGGCGGCAATTTGCCCCCGCCCAAACCTAGTCCTATGTAATCTCACCATTCGCACATGAGTGTATATATTATTTTTGAGTTTAGAATGAAAACTGAAAGTGTAATCTACTATATTATTTAACTGTTTAGAATATAAATGAAAACTGAACAGTGCAATGCTATCTATTACTCGTATTAAGTAGTTTAGAATGAACTAGTTATACTTCACTATATTTGAATGATGTGCTATTTTTGGTTTCCACTCTATTGTTTAGTACTACACACTTGTCCCGGCCGAGAAGCAAGAAATCCTGGAGGTAGTCTCATATAAACCTCCTCCTGCAAGTCCCCGTCAAGAAAAGCGTTGTGAACGTCCATTTGATGGAGTTCCCAGTGTTTAGCCGCAACAACAGCTAAAAACATGCGCACATTAACCATTTTGGCTACAGGAGCGAATGTCTCGGTGTAATCAATGCCTTATTGCTGATGATTTCCGAACACTACAAGACGCGCCTTATAACATTCAATGGTGCCATCTGAATTGTATTTAATTTTGTAAACCCATTTGCACCCAAGAGCTTTCTTTCCTGGCGGAAGTGGCTCCATGACCCAAGTCTTATTATGTTCAAGGGCCCGAATTTCAGTCTGCATCGCTTCACGCCAAGCATCATCAGTCATTGCATCTTTAAAGGATCGAGGTTCATGTCCTGCAAGTACTGCTCCAAGGAAAGTACGATGGGCAATTAAAAATTTGTCACATTTTACAAAATTAGCTATAGGATAAGGCGTACCTGAGGAGCTGACGGAGAAGGTAGACAACATGGATGAGCTCAATGCATGAACATGATGTGTGACAAAGTCGCGGGCGCTTGGAGCGTAATCCCCGACCAAGAGCATCCATGCCCGTCTGGGCAGCTGCGGTATGTTGGAAAAATGTGTTAAAAATTGCATTAAATGGTCATTTTGGGGCAATTATTTGAGTAGGGTCCACTTCCGATTTGGGTCGGGTCAAAGTGGTTTCGGATTTTCCTTGTTAAGGGCTACAATTCGATATATGGTACGCTCAAAGCGGATAACGGGTGAATGAGAAATTGATTCTCGAAGTTCACTCGTTGAATTGGAAAAAATGGGAAAATGATGGGTTTCTAGTATGTTTTATACCACACCGGAAAACTCAAGGGATTTTAACCCCCTTATAAAGGGAAGCCTCTTTTAAGGAGTTAAGATTCCTAAAGGTAAAGGCTCTTACGCGCAGGGGGGTGCCGATCAAATCCCGAAACGGAGAAGAAAAACCGCGACTCGTGTGCGCGGGCGACCTATGGACACGAATGTCGTCCGAAAAATCTATCATTCAAAGATACGGTCTAGGTGGCTTCATACCAGAGGTGCTCCAACTCTGATGGGGGTATTCTGGTCACGCACCAGAACTGCTCCAAGCCGTTACAGCCATTAAATGTCCAACGTTCTTGTCTTTTAATGCAGCGTTAAATGGACAGTTTATGTACGATTCAATGCCCAACGGACTGGTCATTGATGTCCAACGTTCAGGTCCATTAACACCCCATTTAACACACAACAAATCCTCCTATAAATAGCTGGCAGGTGCTTTGCAACAACACAACTCACAATACATTCCTCACGTATTTTTGAACTCTAAAACACTTCCAGCTACTCTGAAAAATTCCGTGTTCATACCGTGTTCCAGTTCGCCGGAACTCTTGTTTGTGTGCTCAAACGTTAGTTCGTTAGCCACTGTATCCTGGGAAACGGTCGTTGCAACCCTCCTAGCATCGTGGGAGGCGACGAATACATTTTAAGGACATCGTGCGTAGCACGAGCTCTGCCTAAACTCTGTTCCATCTATTTTATGTTTTCTTTTAGCTATTTTATTTATTAATTAATTATATTTAATTAATATTTTTTCGTTTTTTCGAGACACACCCAACACGGTATGCTGAGAAGACATATCGAGGAGTTACTTGAGGCAGTGCTATCCGTTAGGTCCCTGTGAGTGAGGTCATGTTGGGTTACCGGAGGATCAAGATCAAATATCACCGGAGAGGGATCTATCAAAGGCGTGTCGACGTAGGAGATGCCGGAAAGGAAGTAAGCGATGCCAAAAATGGGAATTCACCCTCATGAAAAATAACATCTCTAGAAATAAATATTTCACCGGTATTCGAGTCAAGCACTTTCCACCCCTTTTTACCATGAGGATAACCCAAAAAAACTCCATGACGGCTGCGTGGTAAAAATTTGTTTTCACGGCATTTGATATTGTGAGCAAAGCACAGATAGCCAAACACTCGCAAATGAGAAAAATCGGGAGAAACACCATTGAGAAGCTCGTACGGCATTTTACCACCCAACAGACATGATGGGGTCCTATTAATGAGATGTACTGCGGTAAGAACACATTCTCCCCACAATCGGATGGGTACATGAGCTTGAAACATAGTGCTCGTGCCACATTTAAAATGTGACGGTGTTTGCGCTCCACTCGCCCATTTTGCTGAGGTGTATGGACGCAGGAGCTTTGAAAAAGAATACCGTGTGCATCAAAATAAGGCAACACACATTTAAATTCAGTTCCATTATCGCTACGCACAATTTTGACACAGACAATGCATATTGTTTCTCAACCATAGCAATGAATGAGAGGAAAAATTGATGCACCTCCTTTTTGTCATGTAATAAATACACCCACACAGCATGAGAAAAATCATCCACAAGTGTAAGGAAATAAATTGCATCACACGTAGACAGGGTTTTATATGGTCCCCACAAATCACAATGAATAAGCTCAAGAATCCTACTTGCTTTATTATTACTACTGGGAAAGGAATCACGAACTTGTTTTGCCTGCGGACACACCTCACAAGCTTTATTCAATTTTTTCTGAGATGAACTAGAAACAACTGCAAGTAATAATTTTAGGACCTTATCAGATGGATGACCCAAACGGTGATGCCACAATTCAAACTCCGATATTGCTGCAGATATCTGGACATGATGTAAGACCGGAACATGTCTAAAATAAAAGAGCACATACCGTCGTTCACCGACTCCAATCAGGTTCCTCGAGAGTAGGTCCTCTATAGCACAAAGATTATTAGTAAAAGTGAGAAGACAATTAGACTGATCTGTCAACTGTAACTCAGAAATAAGATGGCACTGAAGTCCTGGTACATAAAGAACATTATCAAGAATAAGGTCCTTAGCCAAAGTGACTCGGTCGGTCAAGACCGCAGCCACTGTACGTCCATCCGGCAGTCCCACCGGACAGGCAGGAATGCTAACGGGATTTACAAGACAAACGATGTTCCCCGTTACGTGATGTGAATCCCCGGTGTCAATGATCCACTCAAGGGAAGAATACCTACCCGACATCCGCTCACTGGATTGAGTATCGGCACTAATTAAACTTTGGAGAGCCTGCACCTGCTCATTACTTAAGTTAGCCAGCCCGTTATTGTCGGCAGTTGAAGAAGAGGAGCCTTCAGTTGTTGGCAGTAGAGTAGTGGCCACAGCATGTGTCCGGACCCCCCCCCCCCACGGCCAGCCGGTGTGCCCTTGCTACGGTGCCGTTCCTCCCACCAGTCCGGGTATCCGTGCAGTTTAATGCATGAGCCAATTTCATGGCCCTTCTGTTTGCAGTGAGTACAAACAGGTCGAGAACGATCTGATTTTTTCACCACGGTTTTTGGCAATGCGGTCCACCTGAAGAGCAAATGCATGAACATCGGCCACAACATTTCTCCCACGCACAACTGCCCTGGAGTTTTCCTCCTAGATGAATGCTTGTAGTGCACAGTCAATATCCGGCAACGGGTTCTGGGAAAGAAGATTTGAGCGCACCGTCCCATACAATTCATCATCAATTCCAACCAAGAACTGGTGGAACCGCTCTTCCTCTCGTTCTGCCGCAATCTTTCCAAGAACATTACATGTGCAACGGCCACATGTACACGCCGGCAGTGGCTTCAGCGTGTATAACTCGTCATAGAGACCCATCAATGCCGTGTAATAAGCGTCAACACTCATGTCCTTGGTTTGTTTGCAGGCGGATATGGATGCCTTCAATTGCTGCAGGCGAGGTCCATTAGCCACGCTAAATCTCTTTTCCAGATAGGTCCACAGAGCCCGTGCTTCATCATGGAATGGCATCGAGGTCACCACAGACGGCTCCATGCTGCGTAGAAGCCAGGACACCACCATGGAATTGACGGTGTTCCAGTCGGACTGTCTCGTCGCTTCTGCAGGTTTTGTAATCGTGTCGTCCACAAATCCATGCTTCCGGCGAGCCTTCAAAGATAGAGAGATAGCACGCGACCACGCAACGTAATTATCCCCCTTGAAAAATACATGTGTGATAAGGTTGCCCGGTTGGTCACCGGAGCCAAGGTAATAAGGCGATGTAGTATCCCCCATTGTCCGCTGAGCCGCTAGGTCACACTGGTGCCTAGCAGAATGACGAAGATGGCAGATTCACGAGTTACGCCACTCGTTCACTCTCTGATACCATGCTAAATATGGAACTGATGTGCGGAAGAATAATGCGAAGTATTAGGGTAAAAGCTCATGTTCGTATTCATCCTCCTGTCAGTGTATTTATACATGATAATTATAGTATTAAGGGTTAGTAATCTAACTAAAGTAAGTCCTAAGCCCATATAAAATATACATATCTAATTACAATGAGTGCCGAGCCCATATAAACATTATACGATGGCTAACAGTTACCCCATGCCCCCAATGAAATGAAGCAATTTAATCCTCCATCCAATCACACCATGGCATCGCATACTCAATCAATTCAACCCACTTGCTGCCTACTCTATCTCACCTCACAATATGAATCAATTTACGCCACCCATCTATCATGTTGACTTCTCACCAATGAAGTAGTCACTTTTAATCAAATCATGGCGATCTTTTCTATCACGATAAATGTATTCTCTACCAACAATTGAGCCCCATGTGCACGTTTGTTACGTGTTAAAAACTTTGAAATCAAAATTGGAACCTGAACTGTGGCAATTTCAACCATGAGTGAGTCAGCTTCTTCATCGAAACTATCATCTCTAAAAATTGTCTTGATAAGAGAAAGTGACTCTGTGCTTCATGGTGACCAGTAGTGGAGCTAAATTCAGAGCCTTCTGATGACACTAGTTGTGGCATATTAACATAAATTTAAAATACAATTTTGATATAATGAATGTAAAAAAACACAATTACTAACTTAAAAACTAGCAGTTTCCTACATCAATATATGTTGTAGAAAAAATAAAAGAAGCACTAATTAATTGAAATTCATACGTGATATTACCGGAAAAAAACAAGAGGAACAAAGTCAATTTCACATAACCAAATTAAAAAATCATATGCAATTGCTCTCATCAACCACCAGATTTGATAGATTCATGCTCATCAATTTTTTATCTATATTGTTTCTTGATAAACCTAAAGAAGAGTATACACATGATCAAAATTAATTATCCATGGGTATTGGGTTTATGGTAGAAGAAGCAAAAATCAAATACTTCCTCCGTTCTTGAATACTTGCAACATTGTGATTTTTGCATTATTCACAAACCTTACTTTGACCACGATTTTCTACTAATATACATAATCAAATTATTACATATAAAATGTTATTAAATTCCTATCAATTTGAATTTCCAAAATATCAAATTTTTATAATGTTTACTAATACATAATTAAATATAATTACAGTCAAAGTTGTGCGTTGACAAACGTGAAAGTCAAACTGTTGCAAGAATTAAAGAACGGGAGATGGTATGTAGGAGGAATTAAATACCAAACGGCGACTAAATCTGTTCATGCAATTGATTTTTCGTGCCGTGGAGTGATGGCTGATTTGATATGGCTGCCCATGATTTGGTTTAGGGAAAATGAAAACTAATAATCCAACATTTTAGCGGTCTTCTTACAATAGTCCCACCTTTTCATTATTCATGAATAATCCAATCTTTGCACCCCATCTTCATTCAATGGTCCCTGACCGATTTATGACATGTTATTCTAAGTTATTTTCTTACATTTGCAAAACATGATGTGATCATAAGGTGGGAATTATGGTATAATGTTTTACAAATATAAGAAAATAACTTGGAATAACAGATCATAAATCGGTCACGGACCAGTGAATGAAGATGGGGTGCAAAGGTTGGATTATTCATGAATAATGAAAAAGTGGGACTATTGTAAGAAGATCGCTAAAAGGTTGGATTATTAGTTTCCATTTTCGCTTTGGTTTATGGGTTTAGTTATATAGGTTTACGGAAAGTAGTTACGTGTTGTCGAATATTAAATGAAAAATAGGTAATTTTAATAGGTTAACACCATGCATTGGACATCTCTTATTAATTTCTTTTAATGTGAATCTTAAGTGGACAAACATTGCTTTAATCAATTGACATTTGGCAAAATTTACCTTCACTCTAAAGAAGAGCATTGGAGATACTCTAATACTCCGTAGAAAGTGCTCATACATTTTTTTAATTTTTTAATAGTAAAATGAAAGTATTCATTAAGAATTTAAAAGGATAAAAATGCTTCGAAAACACAAAAAATAAAAAAATAAACTGAATTTAAAAAATCATAAACAACTTGAAGTATAAATCGACAGAAAACTTTATATTAAATTTAAAAATTTAAATAAAATAAATTTAATTTTTATAAAATAAATGAGAAAGGTTAAAATAGTTTAAAATGTGTGAAGATTGTAAAAAGGTTAAAAATATAACTTTTATATTGCAATTTTTAAAAATTTAATATAATTTATATAAACTATAAAATATCAAAAATATAAAAAAAATCGGAAGTTTAATAGAAGTTTAAAAATAGTCTAAAAATTTATAAAATAAACGTTAAATTTATAAACAACATTTTTGAATTAGATAATATGTTTTTGATGTTGGAAAACAATAAAAAGGGGCCTAATATGTAATTAATTAAAATGTGTTTACCATCAGATAAATAATACAGTGGCTATTCATGAAATAATAAAAGTGTAGATACTGGGATAATATATTTCTTTTGGTGACGGGTCAAATTAAATATATTATACTAAAGTGATACAACGGTTATGACCCCCGATGCATGTAAATAACGAGATAATTGTAACGACATAGTAACGGAAAATAGCCTAATAAATTATTCTACTTATTGTAGCAATAATGTAGGAATTAGAAAGGTTAACCGTTACTATTCTCAAATTAGTCCTATAAATACCCATCAATTATAGGATTAAGCTTTATCTCATAAGCTACATAGCATTGGAAGGTTAGGCCGATCAATCGTGTTGGATTCCTAAGTCTTCCTAAAGTGTTAATGCAAATGAATTCTCAAGGTATTGTTCTAATCTTATTTCATACATATTTGATTTCATGGATTTATATGGATTTAGCTATTATATATTTATATATATATTGCATATGGAGCCTTGTTGATATGTATATGAATATCCATCAATTGGTATCAGAGCCTACCATTATAAATTCATGGAATTCATCCTTAATCAGCATATGTATTCATCGATATATTTGGAATTTCATTTGAACTGGTGATATCCGAAGTTTTTTTGTATGAACCGTTTTGATCATGTATGTGCCCGTGATCGTTGGATAAGTGCAGTGATGATTTGTGAGTTTTTTTTTTTTACCGACCGGAACTTTTCCGCTGCATGTTTAATTGTTACCAGTCAAGTATTTTAAATTTTGTCTATAAAACTTTACTTTAGTATTGATATAATATACTACTGATATAAAATTGTGGTATCATATCAATAATTGAGTGTATAGGCATATATGGTACTATTGAATAGTAATTGTACTCCATTCTTACTCGTAGTGGATAATTTTTTTTTAAGCTATATGAAATGGTTTATGCCCTTTATTTGCAAGGGTGCAGTCTAATCCTATGAACATACATGCTTACACATATACTCGTATTAGTATATATAATGCTGCTATATTATGAATTAAGTCATCTTTTTAGACCTTTAATGATATAGTACGACTGTATTGAGTTGTGAGTTCATTGGTTATTGGATTTTGAATCAAGTTGATGTTTGAAAGTACTCCGTATTAAGTATGTTTATTAAGAAAGAACCGTTTCATGTATGTATAATTATTGATTGATTAATGATTTGTTAATTTTTTTTTACTTCCCGCTGCATGTCTCAATCTTTAATGCTTCATTTTGGCATGAATTTTTTTGGCCTCTGCATTAATACTGCTAAACTGTTACGGAGTAATTGAATATTTTATTCACAAGTGGAATTTGTCTAGCACTAGCTATGTCAAGATTGGCAAGCGTTTTTTTTGTATTTCTTTAATGCTCGGATGTAACAAGTATGTTTGCATTGAATTGTGTCTGGGTGAATTTTTGTTTTTTTTTCAAATTTGCTTTCATTAAAGAATTTTTTTTTTTTTTTTGAATCAAGTCAATTCAATGAAATATCAATTGTCGTTGTTCATGTGCAAATCTTTTCGAAGTTATTTGCCGCACTTATTTTCGAAGTTATACACTACGTATATTTTTGAAGGGAAATTGTAAAATAAAAGGAAGTTTAATATTTAAAATGAGTATATAGAAACAATATGTCACCAAAGTGATCCTATTGTGTAAGTTGCTCATATAAAATAGTAAACATAGTATATATAGTTCAAGTAAATATTAATCGGCCCAAAGGAAGATTAATATTTTATCAAGTTATATATATACATTTTGGTAATAATAAATATATAACAATTATAAGGCTTCACTTTAAAAGAAAAAAAAAATCAACCCAAAGGTGAATTTTTCTTTTATATGTATTATTGTTATATTTTATTGTTACAACAAGAGTACCACTAGCAATTAGTATTATTGTCCAAAGATGAAATACTAATGGTGCATTTGGTATCTTGTGATGGGTTAAAATCATTTTACAATTTCACTAAAACATATGTTTGTTATCCTTGTTCTTTCCACAGTTAATTTTGCGAGCATATCTGCCAATCTCAACTCCATCCCTGTCCTAAATGGTACTAATTTTAAGGAATGGAAAGAAAATATTCTAATAACTTTGGGCTGCATGGATCTTGACTTAGCATTAAGGGTAGAGCAACCCGCTTCTCTTACGGATGCTAGTACCCAAGATGAAAAAAGGTACTATGAGAAGTGGGATCGCTCGAATCGCTTAAGTCTTATGATCATAAAGCGTGGCATTCCAGAATCCTTTAGGGGAGCTGTATCCGATGAGGTTACTAATGCCAAGGATTTCCTTTCTGAAATTGAGAAACGTTTTGTTAAAAGCGATAAGGCGGAAATAAGCATGTTGTTAAAAGACTTTACTTCCAAAAGATATTCAGGAAAAGGAAATATAAGGGAGTATATTATGGAAATGTCTTATATTGTTTCTAGGCTCAAGACACTTAAGATTGAGATATCGGAAGATGTTCTCGTACACATAGTCTTGAACTCTCTTCCTATTGCATTTGATCCTTTTAAAGTTAGTTATAACTGCCAGAAGGAGAAGTGGTCTCTTAACGAGCTCATTTCATATTGCGTGCAAGAGGAAGAGAGGATGAAACAAAATAAGACAGAAAGTGCTCACTTGGCTAGTACCTCTAAGGATAAGGGTAAAAAGAGGAATAGAACTCCCATTAAGAATGAAGCTGCTAAAGGTCCAGTACAGAAGAAACATAAGGAAGGTGAAACAACTTGTTTCTTCTGTAAGAAGTCTGGACACATGAAGAAGGATTGTACCAAGTATCACGCTTGGAAAGTGAAGAAAGGTACGGTCCTTACCTTGGTTTGTACTGAAAACAATTTAGCTTCAGTGCCTAGAAATACTTGGTGGTTAGACTCCGGTTCAACATCTAACATCAGTATTTCTATGCAGGGTTGTCTGAGCCACCGCAAGCCAAATGATGCTGAAAGATGTGTCTATGTGGGAGATGGCAAAGCGGTGCATGTGGAGGCTATTGGACATTTTAGATTGTTATTGTCTACTGGTTTCTATTTGGATTTAAAAGACACTTTTGTTGTTTCGTCATTTAGGCGGAATTTGGTTTCTGTTTCTTATTTGGACAAATTGGGTTATCATTGTTCATTTGGAAACTTTCGGTTTCATTTGTCTTTAAATTCAAGTATAGTAGGGACTGGTTCTTTTATGTCATATGACAATCTTTACATGCTTGAAACAATAACTTCATATAATAATGTTTTGAATATTGACACCCGAGGCACTAAGCGAAAGGTTGATAATGCACAATCTGGTTTTTTATGGCACAAACGATTAGGTCACATCTCTAAAAATAGAGTTGAACGTCTTGTGTCTGATGGAACACTTAATTCCATTGATTTTTCTGATTTCAATACTTGTATTGAGTGCATTAAAGGAAAACAAACCAAAATTAAGAAAAAAGGTGCATATAAAGCTATGGATGTCTTAGAATTAATACACACGGATATTTGTGGGCCATTTCCTACTCCTTCATGGAATGGTCAACAATATTTTGTGTCATTCATAGACGATTACTCTAGATATGCATACTTATTTCTTATACATGAAAAATCTCAAGTCTTGGACGTGTTTAAATCTTACAAATCAGAAGTTGAGAATCAACTCAACAAACGCATAAAGAAAGTCAAATCCGACCGTGGTGGTGAATACTATGGGAGGTATGACGGCTCAGGTGAACAACGTCCAGGGCCTTTTGCCAAATTTCTAGAGGAATGTGGGATTGTCCCTCAATACACCATGCCGGGTTCACCTAGCATGAATGGCGTAGCTGAGAGACGTAATAGAACCCTTAAGGAAATGGTAAGAAGTATGATTTCTCATTCTATCTTACCTGAATCCCTCTGGGGTGAGGCATTAAAGACTGCAGCTTACATTCTTAATCGAGTGCCAACTAAAGCAACTACTAAAACACCTTATGAGCTTTGGACGGGTAAAAAGCCTAGTTTAAAGCATTTTCATATTTGGGGTTGTCCAGCCGAGGCAAAGCCGTATAGACCGCATGAAAAGAAACTGGAACCCAAAACAGTTAGTAGTTACTTTATTGGTTACTCGGAACGATCTAGGGGATATAAATTTTATAATCCTGAGGATAAAAATATTTTTGAAACGGGAACTGCCATATTTTTCGAGGATGTTGAGTTTGGGGGGAAGAATAAAGTTAGGGATATTGTCTTTGAGGAAGAATTGATTTCAATACCTGAACCAATTCATATGGATGTTTCTTTTGAAACTAATGAAGAACCTCAACAAGGCATTATTTCATCTTCTCCTATCCAAACTGAACAAATTATTCAAAATGAACAAACTCAACTTCCTCTAGAACAAGTGCAACAAGAAAATGTGCCATTGCGGCGATCCGCTAGAGAAAGGAGATATGCAATTCCAAGTGATTATGTTGTATATCTCCAAGAACATGTGTCAAGCATGGATACAGTGAATGATGTCCTTGTGTTTATTCAAGAACATGAGGAAGAAAATGGTGTTATGGAAGATGATCCAATCAACTTCCATCAAGCCATGAAAAGTTCAAATTCTCAAAAGTGGATTGTGGCAATGAATGAAGAATATAAATCTATGCAAGACAATAAAGTTTGGGAACTCGTCCCATTACCTGAAGGTTGTAAACCCGTTGGTTGTAAATGGATATTTAAAACCAAAAGGGATTCAAGGGGTAATGTGGAGAGATATAAAGCTCGTCTTGTAGCTAAAGGTTACACTCAAAAGGAAGGAATTGATTATAAAGAGACCTTTTCTCCAGTTTCATCAAAGGACTCTTTTAGAATCATTATGTCTTTAGTTGCACATTTTAATTTAGAGCTTCATCAGATGGATGTTAAGACAGCGTTTCTCAATGGCGACATTGATGAAACTATTTATATGGTGCAACCAGAAAATTTTGTGATAGGAGATCCAAAACAAATGGTTTGCAAATTAACAAAATCCATCTATGGGCTGAAACAGGCTTCTCGTCAATGGTATCACAAATTTCATCAAGTCATTTTATCCTTTAATTTTAAGATGAATGATGTAGATGATTGTGTATATCATAAATTCAATGGGAGTAAAATCTTTTTCCTGGTCTTATATGTTGATGACATTATTCTTGCCACTAACGACATAGGCATGTTGCATGAAACCAAGAGATTTCTATCAAAACATTTTGAAATGAAAGATCTTGGTGAAGCCTCCTTTGTATTAGGAATTGAAATCCTTCGTGAGAGATCACAAGGAATCTTAAGGTTATCACAAAGGAACTATATCGATAAAGTTCTTAAAAGATTTGGCATGGAAGATTGTAGACCGGGTGATACCCCTATCTCTAAAGGAGACAAGTTTAGTCTCGATCAGTGCCCTAAAACAAATCTGGAAATTCAAGAAATGAAAAAGATTCCCTACGCATCTGTTGTAGGAAGTCTTATGTATGCCCAAGTTTGTACGCGTCCGGATATTGCGTACATTGTTGGGATGCTAGGCAGATATCTCAGTAATCCAGGAATGGCTCATTGGGTGGCGGCCAAAAGAGTAATGAGATACTTGAAGAGAACAAGGGACTATATGCTTACATATAGAAAATCAGATCATTTGGAGGTCGTTGGATACTCCGACTCTGATTTTGCCGGCTGCAAAGACACTAGTAGATCTACTTCAGGTTATGTTTTTCTGCTAGCGTGTGGTGCTATATCTTGGAAAAGTGTTAAGCAAGATATGATAGCTACCTCAACTATGGAGGCAGAGTTGTTGGCCTGTTTTGAAGCTTCGAACCATGGAATATGGATGCGCAATTTTATTGATGGGATTAAAATATTAAATGAAGTTCCAAAGCCTATCAAGATATTTTGTGACAACAATTCTACGGTGCTTTACTCTAACAACAACAAGAGCTCAAGTAAGACAAAACATATTGAAGTGAAATACCGAGCTATTAAAGAGAGGGTTCAGAATAAAAGGGTCACTATTGAACATATAAGTACAAACTCCATGCTAGCGGATCCTTTAACCAAGGGTCTCCCACCAAAAGTTTTTCATGAGCACATTGCTCACTTGGGAGTCATTGATTTTAAGGAACATCGAGTTTAGTGGGAGTTCATAAGTTATGTTTGATGTATTTGTTTTCTGATCAGAATAAAGTTAGACATTTGGTGTGTTCTGAACAATTAAGTTATTAAAGTTTATTAAAGAAGGGTCAGTTGAAAATTGACATGTACACATGCCACATTTCATGTAATTTTCATGCTACACATTTCATGATTGATCTATGTCATTATGTTATATTAATACTAGTAATCATTGCTGGTATAGTTATGTTTAACATAACAAAATGCTGCAATGGTTCTATATTAGTGTGACTGATGGACCAGATTGTTTAAGGATGTTTTATATGATGGTATTTTTGAGCTCATAAAGATAACACATTTTATTAAGAATTACATATAAGGCCCAGTGGGAGATTGTTGGAAAACAATAAAAAGGGGCCTAATATGTAATTAATTAAAATGTGTTTACCATCAGATAAATAATACAGTGGCTATTCATGAAATAATAAAAGTGTAGATACTGGGATAATATATTTCTTTTGGTGACGGGTCAAATTAAATATATTATACTAAAGTGATACAACGGTTATGACCCCCGATGCATGTAAATAACGAGATAATTGTAACGACATAGTAACGGAAAATAGCCTAATAAATTATTCTACTTATTGTAGCAATAATGTAGGAATTAGAAAGGTTAACCGTTACTATTCTCAAATTAGTCCTATAAATACCCATCAATTATAGGATTAAGCTTTATCTCATAAGCTACATAGCATTGGAAGGTTAGGCCGATCAATCGTGTTGGATTCCTAAGTCTTCCTAAAGTGTTAATGCAAATGAATTCTCAAGGTATTGTTCTAATCTTATTTCATACATATTTGATTTCATGGATTTATATGGATTTAGCTATTATATATTTATATATATATTGCATATGGAGCCTTGTTGATATGTATATGAATATCCATCATTTGAAACTATTAAAAAAGTAATTACAAACTTTTATGAAGAAGTGGTTATTTTAAAAAACTTGAAAATATACTTATCAGGTAAAAAAAAATCAAATAGATTTATAAAATTTCAAAATATTTAAAAATAAAATTAATTGTATTTATAATGAAAGAAACAATATTCAAACATTACAAAAAAACAAAAATTTAATGTAACCTAAAGAGTAAAATTTAAAAAATTGGAAAATAAAAACGTCAAAAGCTAAAATAATGAACTTGAATCATATTAAAAATTGTTTTTTTAAAAGATGAAATTTGTAATGTATTACTCCATATTTCTTAATTAACGAACTTAATTTTTTTAAATTACAATTATTGTTTTGTTGTTAGTTTTTGTTTCATATTGTTTCTTTTTGTTTATAACTCTGAATTTTTTGTTTCTTATTACTTCTTTATGTTTTTAGTTGTTTATATTCATAAATCATAATTTATATAGGATGATGAGGTGGAATGATGTCTGCCATCTAAAGAGGACACGTCTTGGTGGAATGATGAGGTGAAACAAGCCATAAGGAACAAAAGAGATTGCTACAAAAAGTTGGAGACAAGTTGGAGTAATGAGAACATAGAAGTATACAAGGAGGCTAAAAGATAAGCAAAGAAAGCCATAAGGGAAGCACGAGAGAAAGTGAACAAGGAGTTGTATGAAAAGTTGGACTCTAAGGAAGGAGAACTAGATATTTATAAACTTGCTCATCTTCGTGATCGTAGGACTCAAGATATTGTAAAAGTTAAGTGTGTGAAGGATGTCGATCAGAGGATATTAATGGACGACAGAGAGATAAAAGAGAGGTGGAGATCATACTTTGATACACTATTCAACAAGAACAAAACGCAAGATATCGATGATTTGTCCATACCAGATTGTATGGTAAATCGTGATTTTGTGAGAAGGATCCAACAACGGAAGTTAAAGAAGCTCTGAGGAAAATGGGACGGAAGAAAGCAGTGGGTCCAGATGGCTTACCGATCGAGGCTTGGAGAAGTTTGGGAGAGAGAAGTTTGAAATAAATAAATAAAAAATATACATACCTCAACCACCACCCCGGCCACCTTCCAGCACCGCCACCTCCAGTCGGCGAAAAAGATTGCCAGTTTGGGGAAAAATGTCATCATGATGACAATTTTGTGGATATTTTCAAAGAGTAAAAATGTCATCTTTATGATATTTTCAGATAAATGTGGCATTTTTATACGAGATGACACTTTTTTTGGCGCTCAAAGGTGGTGGTGCAAGGCAGTGGAGGATGCATAGGTAATGGCCTACATATTTTTTAGGTATTTTATTTGATTTTTTTAGGTTTTTAAATTATTTTTTATTTTTTAAAACATTTTTATTTAATTTTATATTTTCCCGATTTTTATAACCATCTTAGTCACATTTTTGTCCAAATATAAATGTGGTCACATTTTCAGAAACGAGCTTTTGTTTAGTAATATTAAGGGGAAAAGCCTATAAAAAATCGTAAAAATATTTATAAATTAGGAAAAATTGACAAGAATAATCCCACTTTTCACTGGTCTTCTCATAATAATCTCACCTTTAAATAATCCCAAAATAATCCCACTTTTGCATCTCATCTTCTTTCATTGGACCCTGACCAAGTTTTTTACCTTTTTTAAAAATCATATATAAATAATCTCACATTTATAAGGATATAATTAAAAAGTGAAAGGTGAGATTATTTGTATAATTTTCAAAGAAAGAGTGAAAAACATGATCAGGGTCCAATGAAAGATAATGAGGTGCAAAAGTGGGATTATTTTGGGATTATTTAAAGTTGGGATTATTATGAGAAGACCAGTGAAAGGTGAAATTATTCTTGTCAATTTTTCCTAATTTATAAATATTTTTACGATTTTTTATAGGCTTTTCCCCTTAATATTACTAAACAAAAGCTCATTTCTGAAAATGTGACCACATTTATATTTGGAAAAAAATGTGACTAAGATGGTTATATATTTGGAATAATATAAAATGACTACCAAATATTTATGTCACTATCCAATTTTGATGTCACTGTCGCCACCCATGTCACTGCTCCCGCCGCCTATGTCAGTGCCGCCGCCCGTGTCACTGCTACCACCACCCGTGTCACTGCCGCCGCCACAGTGACACCTCCATAGTGACAACTCCGCAGTGACATCTGCGGTCACCACCGTCGACGGTCACAGTGACACACAGTTTACGATGTACCCAACCTCATCCCTCCCCTGCTCCTTACATGCCCCAGCCCCGTACCAAGCCTATCCTGACCATCACCGCAAACCACAACTGCTGACCATCACTGTGGACCGCATCTGTCGTCCACCACCCTGGCAACTTCCCGGATGCCGCCACGCCCCTCCCCAGACCCCTGCCCCCTCACAACCCCCTCCCCCGCACGTGCCCCCTACCCTGCGCACCAGCCCCCTCCCCTGTGCACCAGCCCCCTCCCCTACGCACCAGTCCTCCCTCCCCTGCGCACCAGCCCCCTTCCCTTCCCTGCGTACCAACCCTCCTCTGCGCACCAGCACCCCTCCTCTGCACACCAGCCTCCCTTTCCTACGCATTCGCCCACTCCCCTGCGCAATAGTCCCCCTCACTGCGCACCAGCCTCGCCTCCAACCACTTCCCTATCCCTACCCCTATCACACCTGAGTCACTCAAATCTGAAAAATGTAAAATCCATCAAAATCGATAGGAAATCAAGATTCTGTGGGCATCGAGGTGGAGCGTTGATTGGATGGCGAGGCTATTGCGACGAGGTGGACTGGTGGAGTGTCATTTGGATGGCTAGGCGAGGCTATAGCCAGTACGATCCGGAGGCGGTGGCAATGCGATAGCCGATTGCGGCAGTGCGATTGGAGACTTCGGTGGGGCAATGGCTGACTGCGGAGCTGTGGAGAAGAAAGATGACTGGGGATGGATAAGAAGGTATTCAGCGCTCGTCTCGTTCTGATGCGATGGAGAAGAGGAACGGATCCTTTGTGCTTATTTTTTTAACGGTAGGTTAGTCACTTTTTTGGAATTACAAAAAATGGTAATATTTTTGGAACTAAAAACTTAGGGAGTAATATCAGTGTCATTGTTTCATTTTTTATTATAAATAAACTATGATTTTTTGTTGTATTAATAAATAAATCTAATAGAAATTATAGGTTGGGGTAGTATAGGAAGAAGAGACATATTACTTATATTTTGAAAATAAAAAGAGTATAGTCTTAATGTGGAATTTCAGGCTACTTTTAGTCTCATTTAGAGCTAATAACCGATTAAAATCAATAATATGCATACTGGAACTTGGACATTCTTCCCATACATTATCATTTTCCAATAACATGTTATTCCATATATATCGAATGAGTCCCGTTTCTATACATATGTATGTACAGAGACCTCCGTGCGGACAACGCCATCACAGGCTCTTCCCGTTAGAATTTTTTGATGAAATATTTTGAGCATGTTCTTCATTAAGTGTAGTTTATACTCGCCAAATTTCAGCTTAAAACTCCATCGGGAAGATAGTTAAATAAATTATTGAAAAAACTGCGCTTTTATATGTATACTTTGGTGCAGTTTTTTTGAATAAATTACTCCCTCCGTCCCAAAATGAACTTCACAGTTACTATTCACATGGTGAACTTAAATTACTCTTAATCTTATATTTTATATCAAATTTTTATCAAATTTATATTTTTTATCAACCTTTGTAGCGATTTTACTGTAGATTCTCAATATGTAAATTTTATTTACTAAAAGTAATCTGAGCAGGGATCGAGTTGCTTTATCGTCGATCAAGCATCGTAATCCGAAATGGGAAGTTCATTTTGGGACATAGGTACTATTTAACTACCTTCCCGATGGAGTTTTAAGATAAAATTTGGTGGGTAAGGGTGGACTCGGGTCCGGGCCGGGTCCGGGTCGGGCCTAGGCCCGGCCGGGCCGGCGGTTCAAGAATGGTGGACCCGGGACCGGCCCGGGTAGCCACCGGGTCCGATCCGGGTCCGGGCCGGGCCTCCGGTTTGGATTTTTTTTTTTTTTTTTTTTTTTTTTTTTGCTTTCCTAACCCCCCCTCACCCCCACCCTCCCAAACCCCCCCAAATCCATCCTACCCATCAAGCCCAACCCGGGTGGAACCCCAAAAATGAAAAAAAAAAAAAATAAAAAAAAATCAATTTGGCCCGAGCCTGACCCGGCCGGGCCGGTTCACCAAAATTGAGACCCGAGCCCGGACCCGCACTACCCCCGGGCCTAGGCCTGACCCGGACCCGGACCCGGACCCGAGAACTGGGCTGGTCCCGGTCCCGCACAGTAGCGGGCCGGGCCGGTCCACGTGCCGGGTGGCCCGACCCGAGTCCAAGCCTATTGGTGGGTATAAAGTAGACTTTATGAAGAACATGCTCAAAAAAATCAATAAAAAAATTCCACCGAGAAGAGTCTCTTACAACGTTTTCCGCAGAGACTAGATTTGAGGAACCAATGATGAAGAAATAAGAACAGAATAAACTAGATTTAAAAAAATGGCACCCCATTCTCAAGGTCTCCCAGAAACGACTGAACAGTTATGTGGGATGAAGATTAAACTAGATTTAAAAAAGTGATAAGTGATTTGCTACAAGTACATGTATAGGGTTGTACATATCCAACTCCCCTTATCCCACCATTGGCGGAAGCCTTTGGTGCATTAGGGTACTGTCATTGTCATGGTTGGTTTAAGGTGGTTATAGTGAGTGACACTCACAAGTCCCAACGAAGAGATCACATGGTCAAAACTCATCCATTTCAAAATTATTGACATTTAACATAGAACAAATATTATAATAGTAAGCACCATAAAAAAAGGTTATAGTGCGAAACTCCAAATCTGGGGAGAGGAATCTACAATTCTACAAATGTATTCCAAGTTTTAGATTGGCCGTCACATGTACTTGCTAAATATGGAGTAATTATATTTTGCACATAGCTATACCGGGGCCAGCCACAGTCTAGGCTTAACAGTTGCACCGCTTTGTAAATTGTAACTGCTGGTGCTATCATTTTTAGCGTGTCGGGGGTCATGGTATCTTTTTCTTTCCCCCTATCATTTTTTCTCTCTTACATAGTTGATCGGAAGAAAAGTGAAAGTGCAAAACGATTAGGAAATAATCCATAACATACATATCATTAACTTAGTACGAAGTATAAGTTACTGCTTTCTGGTACAACACGAATATCAATAAATTAGCAAAAACTATTTCATCCTTCTCATTCCCTTTAAAATTCCAAAACCAAACAAGGGCTAGGAATAAAGATTAAAATCTCATCAGGAGAAAAGGCCACTGATGTGCAAGGCGCTGCCTTTGGTCGCATTCTCCAACAAAGAATGGCCATTGGCCACGCAGTAAAAGCAGTGGTAGTTGTCCCTATAAAATGTTCATAAAACAAAACCTACTTACTTGATCATAGTCGCTGATAACCAAAAGTTCCAAAATATTGAGGCCATTGACATGAAAGCAACTCGAGCTTCAAGGGGAACCACCCTGAATGAACTTTCAATTAGTCCCCAAATCATGTTACATTGATAGCACCTTAAGTTTAATACGTAGTAAAAAACATTGAAGAGAAGCATGTAATGTAAAGCTAGAAACAAAGTACTCAATTTATAGTGTCATTAATTACCTAAACTTAGTAAACAAGAAAAGTAATACAGTGATTATACCGATATTTTTCAGTAACTGTAGTGATCATATGAAGTTCAATTTTAATCGTGAGCTGGTGGTGGTATTTTCCGTACTGACTGTAGTGATTATGCAGTCATATATTTATCCATGAGTCTATGGTTATGTAATAGGACCCTCGCATACTAACCAAACTTCTGCCGAGTAAGCATATCCCTAACAAATGTAGGAGAATAATAGAGATTATGGATAAAATATGGATGCTATTTTACGATCCACATATTATCCCCAATGCGAGATCCACAATACTTAGTCACACCATGAAATTTTAAGAGCGAGTGATTGAACAAAGGCTGTTAAGAAGTATGAAGATTTCAAAGAATCAATTCAGTTTTATGTCTGATCGCGCAACAATCGAGGACATTCACCTTTTAGACAACTTGTGGAGCAGTATAGAGAACAAACAGGGATCTGCATTTGTCATTCGTTGACATAGAAAAAGTATATGATAGGTAGATTTATCTAGAAAAGCCATGTCACGTAAGTATATCAGTATCATCACTGATATTTATGAGTATTGTACTACAAGTGTCTGTACTAGTGTTAGCCTATCAGAGTTCCCTATTACTATCGGAGGCACGGAGGATCGACTCCGACCCCTTTCTGATTTTCTATAGTCATAGATGAACTTACGAGGTCAACTCAAGATGATATGCATGATGTATGATGCATGAACTTACAAGGTCAACTCGGAGGCACGGAGGATCGACTCTGATGCATGATGTTTGCCGACAATATTATATTGATTGATGAGACACAATCGGGTGTTAGAGAAACGTTGAAAGTATGGCGACAAATATTAGAGAACATGAGTTTTAGATTGAGTCAATGCAAGAATAAGTATATCGATTGCAAGTTTGGTGGAGGTAGAAGCAGTAATAACACTGAGATTACCTTAGACGGTAAGGAGATACTGGCAACTCGGGTGGTGACCTTGCTGATTAACTACTTGACTCGATCTATATATTATTTCTGAGTTACTCGTCAAGTACTCGACGAGTTTCTCAACTCGGTGAAGTTCTCAACTCGGCGAGTTACTCAAACTTACTCGATCACTTATAAAATTTGAAAATCTATGATACAAAGTCTAGGTTTAACAGAGTTTCAAACATCGACTACCCTTTTAGAGTGATGATCTGACTTGGGAACAAGTACGAGCAGCATAATAAGCCACGGAGGCACATAAAAATACAATGAGTCGAAACAAAAGGGAGAATGTGAATGCATCACAATCTGCATAGATGCCTGTTTGATATTGATTTAGATGACCTCCAAGTGGAAAAGAAGAACAAGTGGGTAAAGATCTATTTCGGGACATGGTGGATGAAGAAGAAAATCATGACCTTGAACCCAATGAAGATTACTATCGGACTAAGTTATTAGATGCTTTATTTTCTTGGAAACATAGAATGTTTATGACTTTTGCTATTTCATCATTATGAGTTTTATCATTTTATTCATTTCAATGCATTTTAAAACAAATTTTAGGACTATAATATTTCTATAGTCTCGGGCATCTATATTATTAATTTTAATTAATATAGGGCCGAGTAATCACCGAGTAATCCAGAGTAATTAGTCTACTCGTCACTCGGTCCTTGACTGAGTTGCTACCGAGTAACGAGTTAACTACCTAAGATACTGGTAATTCAAAAGGACGGTAAACTAGATAGAGACATGTATCCCATTAAATCAGAACAAGGTGGATGAAATGAAAGATTGCTTCAAGATTTCTATATGATCGAGGTATGCTGACTAGATTGAAGGATAAATTTTTTCGGACAACAATTAGGCATGCATTACTATGTGGTGTAGTGTGTTGACGTGTTGTGCAGTGAAACAATGTCACATTCAAAAGATGTGTAGCAGATGTGCGCATGCTGCATGGATGTGTGGATATACCAGAAAAGATTGTTTGAGGAATGAGAAAATAAGACAAAAGGTGAGAGTAACGTCTATTGAAGACTAGCTGTAAGAGCCTCAATTGCGGTGGTTTGATCGTGTACATAGAAGATCGGGTGATGCACCTGTTAAACGAGTTGAAAGGTGTGCAGAAGTGGCGAGGAGAGGTGGAGAAAGACCTAAACAGACGTATATTAGAGGAGTCAAAAGTGATATGTTTCGTTTTGGATTGGATGAGAATGACTTTGGAGAGAGTAAAATGGAGGACATGTATTCATGTGACGAATTGATCTCTGAGCATCTTTTTTATAATCTTTCAGTTCTTTATCTTTCTTGTATTTTTTATTCTTTTATCATTTTTTAGTTTATTTATAATCTTTTTATCTTATATTTATTTTTATCTTTACCGTAGCTTTTTTATCCTTTTTATCATTATCTTTTTATCTTTATTATTTTTCTTTTCCTTTTGACTTCGATAGCATGTATCAATTTGTGTTAGCCGATCTCAAAAAAAAATCGGGACTAAAGTTTAGGTGTTGTTTATTGTAGAGACCCACAATACATGTATTGGAGGGATATCCACAAAACTTTAGATATAGGTATATACAAATGTATGAAGATCCAACTATTTTATTAATTTTATTAGGCTGGAGCAAGTGATTTTTTGAACTCCACTATGAGTTTATGAGATCATTTTTTTGTTGCAAGCCCATCCCAAGACAAGATAGAGGACGGTGTTGTGATAGGTGTGTGATGGCCAACATCATCACTTAGTCATGTCACATGACATGGACCAAAATATGAATATTGTTACTGTTAGGTTGTCGCTCGGAAGTGGCACATCATCTCACTGCCTAAGGTGATGTCTGATATGCAAGGCGCACTACACTTCATAGGCCCGAGTGTGGTGATAAGAACGCTAAGATTGCTTGGTCATAGCCTAGAAGCGGTGCGCCAACCAAATGCCCAAGGATGATGTCATATATGCGGATAGCATGGTAGGGTCGAGGTGATGATAAGAGTTGAATGCGGAGTTCTGGATTGCGCTTTGGGAAATAGAACATTGGGTCTCTTACAGGAAGATCAAGCCGTCGAGATTAGAATTGAAAAAACTATGTCCCCGTTGTTACAAACATAGGATTCATGTAGAAATTAAAAAATGAAATACGTATTTCAACAAGTAGTGGGAAAATAGAATGACATTTTTAGTCTGAACTGATAAGGAGACTAAATTCTAATTCAAAATAATTATATTCGTATAATCCTGGAGGTTTTAAGTTGTGGTATTCGGGAATGAAAAGACTCAAAATGGATTAGGCATTATTATGGCGTGTCACTATGTTGAGGATGTGATAGAAGTCTTGAAGAAGGACCGCATTGTGAACATAAAATTCATGATAAGAGATTAGATCATGTCCATGATAAGTGCATATGCACCAGAAGTGGGGTTGGATGTATCTATCACTCAACAGTTTTGGGAATATCTTGGGGAAGTGGCATGACGAGTGTCAAAGGGAGAAAAACTGGTCATAAAAGACAACCTCAATAGGCATGTAGGCTCAAGTCATGATGGTTTTGAGAGTATCATGGTGGAAAAGGTTTTGGCACGAGAAATGAAGTGGGATTGAACATGTTAGATTTTAACTCGTATGCTATAATGAACACTTGGTTCACAACAAAAGAGACTATCAATTTGTGGCTTATAGAAGTAGAACTAATAGTAGTCAAATTGAACACTTATTAGTACAGCCTACTTGGAGAATTAGCTAAAGAGGTTGTAAAATTACCCTAGATGAGTGTTGTCACTTGGAATAGGATTCTTGTGCTTGACTTTTGAGGTAAGAAGCGTGGAAGGCGAGTTAAGCAATAAGTGGAGCCAAAGATAATGTGGTGAAGGCTCGGGGGGTCTCGAACAAAGCTTTGCACACAAAATGTTTGGTGAAAATGTATAGTGTATTGATAACAACGCCCATGGGGAGGATGTGTGATTATTGATGTAATGATGGGTGAAACAAAGCATAAGGCACATAAGGGAATCTTACAAGAATTTGAAGAAAAATTGAAGTGATAAGAATATGGCGTAGTAGAAGGAGGCTCAAAGAAAAGCTTAGAAAGTTGCAAATGATGCGCAAGGGAGAGTGAACAATGAGTTATATGCATAATTGAACTTTAAGAAAGGAGAAAAGATATTTATAGACTCGTTCGTTTTCGTGATAGTGGGACTCGAGATACTTATTAGTACAGACTACTTGGAGAATTAGCTACACAGATCGTAAAGTTACACTAGTTTTGAGTGCTGTCTTCGGAATAGGATGATTGTGCTTGACTTTCGAGGTTAGAAGCGTGGAAGGCGGGTTAAGCAATAAGTGGAGCCAAAGATAAAGCGGTGAAGGCTCCACGGGGGTCTCCAACAAAGCTTTGTACACAAAATGTTTAGTGAAAATTTATGGTGTATTGGTAAATGGTAACAACGCCCATGGGGAGGGTGTTTGATTATCAATGGAGCAGACCACTAATAAAATGGCAAAGAAGATACTTGGGGAATCTAAAGGATGTCTGTCACAAAAAAGGACACATCTTGATAGAATGATGAGTAAAACAAAGCATAAGGAACAGAAGGGAATGTTACAATAATTTGAAGAAAAATTGAAGTGATAAGAACATGGAGTAGTAGGAGGCTCAAAGAAAAGCTAAGAAAGTTGCAAATGATGCACGAGGGAAAGTGAACAATGAGTTATATGTAAAATTGGACTTTAAGACCGGAGAAAAGATATTTATAGACTCGCTCGTTTTCAAGATCATGGGACTAAAGATATTGGAAAAGTTATGTGTGAAGGATGTAAATCAAATGGAATTAAGGGAGGATGAGAAAATAAAAAGAGAAGTAGAACCCATACATTGACACATTGTTCAACATGAATGAAGCGCAAGATATTGATAATTAAACTATATCAGATTGTAAGGAAAATCTGGATTTTATTAGAAGAATTCAAACGACAAAAATTAAAGATGATCTGAGAAAGATGCGGCAAAAGAACGCAGTGGGCCTAGACAGCGTACTTATTGAGGCTTGGAGAAGTTTGAGTGAAAGACATCGAGTGGTAAACTCGTTTCATGAACAAGATCTGAAGATAAAACAAAATGCCAACGAGTTGGCGTTAAAGTACTCTTATCTCCTTATTTTAGAATAAAGGTGATGCACAAAAATGTGTCAACTATTAAGGAATTAAGCTGAGTCACGCCATGAAAATTTGGGAGCGAGTCATTGAACAAAGGCTCCAAATATGTTTGAAAATTTCAAAAAATCAATTCGGTTTTATGCATGATCGCGCAACAATTGAATCCATTCACCTTTTTAGACAACTTGTGGAGAAGTATAGCCACTATGAAATATCTGCATTTGGCGTTCATTGCCTTAGAGAGGGAATATGAGAGGATATTTCAAGAATTCCTTTGGTAAGCCGTAAGCCTTAACTAGAAAAGACATACTCCCTCAGTCCCAAATATAAGATACATTTACTATTCACTTGGTCAACATAAATCACTCTTAATCTTTTACTTTATATATCAAAAGTTAATGAAATTTAAATTATTTTTTGCAGGTTTTGTAGCGGTTTTAATGTAGTTTCTAAATATGTAAAAAAAAATCTAAAACTAATTTTAGTGTTGACAGGGATCAATTTGCTTTACAGACGGTCAAACATCGTAAACCGTAAAGTATCTTACAAATTGGGACGGAGGGAGTATGATGTAAGTATATCAACATTATCATGGATATGACATAAGTATATCATCATCATCATGCATATCAGCATATCTATACATATGTATGAATATGTATGAGAATTGTACTACAAGTGTTCGTGCTAGTGCAGAGAGGACTGTAGAGTTCTCTATTACTATTAAAGTACACCAAGGATCAACTTTGAGTCCTTTCTAAATTGCTATAGTCATGGATGAACTCAAGAAATCAACTCATTATGAATTTCATATTACTCTGTACCTTTTCCTAAATACATTGTAAATGAAGTCAGAACACTAGTTTTAGAACTCAAAATGATCCTTCCAACGAGATATAAAACCATTGAAACAGAAGAACATACAGCAAGATCTGATCAAATCAAATACTTAGCCTATTTTCTGTAATATAACGTTTTCAACGTAAATATATCATATTTAGCGTAACTACAGTCTTGGATTTGAAATTCGGTTCATTAGGTAAAGATGATATGCCATGGTGCATAATGTTTGTCGATAATATTATTTATTGATGAAACGAGATCGGGTGTTAAAGCAAAGTTGGAAGTATGGAGACAAACATTGAAGAACAATTGTTTCGAGCTGAGTCGAAACAAGATTGAGTATATGGAGTGTAAGTTTGGTTGAGGTAGAAACAATGGTAACGATGGGATTACCTTATTCAAAAGAACGGTTAACTAGATGGAGATGTATCCCATTATAGTGCATGAAATTGAAGAGTGCGTAAGGATATATATGTGACTGAGGTATGCCAACTAGATTGAAAACTAAGTTTTATCATACAACAATTAGGTCTTCATTAAATTTTCCTATGTTACACAGTGAAACAATGTCACATTTAAGATATAAGTATAGCTGAGATGTGCATGTTGCGTTGAGGTGTGGACTTATTAGAAAAACCGCTTAAGGAATGAGACAATATGGAGTATGAGTCTACGAGATGTTGAGATGTTGGAGAAGTAATTACTAACACTTCCTAACAATTCATAATTTCTCGCCCAAAGAAGTGTTGATGTTAACACTTCACATCACTTCTTTTACTAACATTTCCTAACACTCAATTTAATCGCATCGTAAGGCTTGGATGTTAATGTTGTTGGGAGTGATATTCCTAATCCACAATATGGAGTAGAACAACTTTCTCCCTTACATAGGCTAAAATAAGTTGTCGATCTATTTCCAATGAACTTTTACTTTCTTTAATTTTTTCATTTTCCATAGGTTATTTACCTAACGGCCAACCTGGATGGAGTGGTTCAAGGAGCAAGCTTGGTTTGTGTGTACCTTGATAATTAGAATGCTTCTAAAAACAAAATAAAAGGTGATTAACATGCTATACAATCCCATATAGAATGTTTACTTTTTAATTTCTTTTTTCATAAAATTAAAAGAACTATATACGATATAGACTTGGCAAACCAAAGGCTTCCAGTCCACCCAAGCTGACCCCCCAAAGGGGATGCAGTTTTGATAAAAACTTTAAAAGGCTAGTTGAAGATATTACCAGAAATTCAAAACACTAACAGGGATCCAGAACCTAAACCCTGTACAGATTAGAAATAAACAAAAGAGCAATAATTAAAACTAATAAAAAGTAGTATCCTTGTGGAAGATAAAAATGCCATAGGAAGAAGTGTGGTTATGAAATTATGAATACCAAAAAACAGAGTTGGGAGGGCATCTCTGCGATACTTATTTGGAAGCTCAGAGAGTTTCCCTAACCATAAATTATTCCATGCAAAAACAACAGCAATCACACAAGGGCCGAGAACAACTTGATTAAGCAAAACCTGCACTCAAGAATTTTGCCCCTCTCTTATAATCTATAATTCACCAGAGGCTATATACTTCCGTAAAGTAAAAGAAAAGAAAAACAGAAAGAACCTTCATAAACAAATTCTGAACAGATGGCTTTGGCATGCAGTGATCAAGAAACTTGTACCATGAAAAAGTAGCAGGTCCGTATAGTAAAAATCCATATGAACCCATCCGGAGAGCTCGGAGCCAGTCATGCTCAGAAAGCAGAACTCCTGCGACATCCTGTGCAATTTAATCCCAACTATTGGGGTCAGTAGCATTACATTTTTCGGTTTGTATGAAATTAGGCAAAGTTATAAGCCTATAAGTTCATGCAGAAAAACAGAGTGGCAAAGTTTTACGCTGGATGCTCCTCCAGTCACAACCTTAAGAAGTAGTGAAATGAAAATTCCGTAACAGTATTTCCACTTCTCTAAAACGTAGTGCGCATGAGTCGACTACGTGCTAAAGGGTGGTCGACCACCCCTAATTTTGTATCCCCACTAAATGATTTCAAGCCCAGGTGAATTAGTCCAAATTTTATTTTACTTTTTAATTTTATTTATCTAAGGAATATATGTACCTTTAACTCTAACTATGGATATGAAGAAACAAACTTAAAAATTAAAACAAAAACTATATAAGTTTGTACATATCCTAAATTATTACTCCCTTCATCCTATTTTGTAGGATACACTTTCCTTTTTAGGTTGTCCCAAAAATATGATCAATCCCTTTATCTATCATTTCACTCTTTATTTTTTGTTGACCTATCTTGGTCTTTCTTATTTACTCTCTCTGTCCCATTCTAAGGTTCTATTTTAGGAAACAATTAGCACTCTTAAATGATAATTTATTCAGCAACTATTAAAAATAATATACCCATAACATCACACTACTATCACAGTCATCATCAGTGACCCTATTATACTATATAACCATCAAAATTATTTAAGAAAATGTACTCGAATTACCTTCTTTAATCATTGTCTAAATAATCGTGCCATTTTACAATGAGAACCTTTAACGGGGATGGAGGTAGTGCTGTATGTGATATAAAGAAGTTCAGAGCCCGTTTGCTAAAACTGAAATTGGTTGAATCGGCTGATTCTGCTGAATTTTATGAAGTTCTGGCTGAAGTGGTTGAATTTGCTGATTCTATTGATTTATAAGATTATTCTACGGTTTTGTTCAACACAATAACAGTACTTCAGTTTTGTTCACACCTACTTCAACACAATATCACTTTAACAACACAATGTATCTGTAAAACTGCACTTTTGTTCTTGTGGTCTATGCTTTGAACTATTGTGAAAACCTTGTTTAAGGTGGTTAGAATAGTATTTTGAGACAATAGGGGTGTGAAATTGGAATTTGGGAACTAATTTGTAAATTGCAAAACTTTCTGAATATCATAGAGAACTTTAAAGACTCGTCATTTGGAAGATTGCTGTAGAATCAGGGAACCCGTGTTTCTCATTTCGCCCACATTCTTAAGGCTTTACTATAATATTAGAAAAGCGACATTAATATTGCTGGTTTATAAAAATCCCCAGCTTATCACAGCACCAAATGAAGGAACGAAAATAACAACTCAATCACATGTCCAACACATAATCTCTATTTTGGACTAAAATGAAATTAAGAATTCACAGAAATGCCAATACGCTGTGTGTATATTGTAAAACATTTGAAATTCACAGAGATACTTCAAATTCCGGCACCATAAGTGTTGAGAAGAAATGGAAAAAGTCAATGTCAGTTGTTTTGAGTATTAAGGTTCAGTAATTCAGTTTACAAAAGAAGACGAAGAAGAAAAAACATAACGGGTTCATACCGGCAACTGCGGAGGTTGCGGAAGAAGGTCTTTGTTCTTCACCCATCGATGGCGGAGCTGAGCGATGGTGTCTCCGGTAAGGGCGAGAGAGCCGGAAGCGATGGCTTGTTTGGCGGGGAACCAGTAGCCGGTGCCGCCAGTCGCATTGATGGAATTGGATTCTCCATTCCTGGTGTTTCTTTCCCGTCTTTTCCTCCTATTCCAGCCCCCGTGATGGAAGGGTCCCACTCCCCATACGTTACCTCTTCCGCCGCTCCATACGCCCATTTCAACACCAACGAGTAATGACCAATGACGAGCCGCAGAGGAGGAAGGAAATGATGAGGGACCGCTGGAAACAACCAGTCAAATATGGATCCGGATTCAATAGCTATTGGATCCACTTTTGGATCCCCTCCCCGCAAGCACCTCCGCTGTGGATCCAAATCCTTCAAATATTGCCCATATGGCACCGTACCATATTACTAAAAAGCTCGTGCTCCGCGCGCCTCTAATAAGGCTTTGCACACCAATTTTTTTACAAAAGTGGACAAATATATCCCACACGGCACTCCTCAATTCTGTTTTGTGCTGGGCGCACCCCACGCCCCCCCCCCCTCCCCCCACCTACTAATTAAATCGCACCATCACGGCATCACCCCACAAAAGTAATACCCACTTAAATTTGTTTCCAAAATAGGTTTCCAAAAAGATTTCCAATACTCATTTAAATTTGTTTCCAACGGAGGTTTCCATGCAAATGTGCTGGGCGCTGGTGCTTCATCGTTATTAATTCTTTTTTAAAATAAAAATAAGTTTTTGTATTTCAAAAATTTTGTGTAACATGTTTCCAAATACACTTAAATTACAAATACAATAAGGATTACACTTTCTAACTACCATCAAACAACTACTATATAAATATTTTGAACCAATTACTAATGCTTTTATAATTTTTTACAATATTCTTATACAATGGAGGATGAATCTGAAAATTATCTAAAAAATAGTATGATGGAGTATATGGCCCGGGAACCCCCGACCCACAGACTCCTACTACTCCAATAAAGGCCCAACAGGCCCAGAAAGCACAACAGGCCCAAATCACAGCGCCCAGAGTACCAAGCAGCCCACAATGTGCACCAGGGGTGCCTTCGGCCCCCTGGCCGAAGGCTCTAATTTTCACATGAGGGCCAAGAAAAAGGACTGGAGCGAGAATCAAATTAGCCCTCCGGTCATCACAATCGACGTGCAATCGGCGCTCTCCGCCTTCATCCAGACGCTCACTCAGAACCCGGGTGCCTTCGGCACTTTGGTTCCCCACCAACCTCAGGTCGGGGAGAATATTATGCCTCCCCCTCATCCACGACCCCTCGGTAACCCGGTCCTCCGGATGGGGAACTCCGAGGGGGTCGTGGCCCAAGATACGGCCTCCCAGGAAGTCCAGTCTCGGGACCGCCACAACGTAAACAAGGAACAACTCCGGACCTCCGACCTCGAGAGACTCGGAGGGGCGCAAGACCGCCGAGGGTTCCAAGACCGCCTCGGGGGGAAGGCGTTCCAGAGGCCTCAGGAAAGTGGCAGGTCCGTCTCCAGGGCCAATGAAAGGCGTCCCCCTCAGGACAAAGACAAGGCACCTCTCCATGCCACCCAATAATTAATTTTTGTCAAACTAATAAGTACACTTCAAATAGCAATTGTCTTTTTATAAATTAACGGCTCCTATATATAAGTTAGAATGTTAGTTTAATACGTAGTATTTTTTATTTATCCAAAATTTTAAATATAAATAAGCATATACGAAACTTAGATATTAACGGCTTTTATATTATCCTATACTATATCGAACTTAGATATTAGTAACACATATACGAAACTAGATCAGATGAGATCAGAATTGAACAATTCTGAATGTTTAGGTTTTTTGGGGTTATTGAAAAAAACTTTTTGTGCTTTGAAACTCGAGAGATTATATTTTGATTATTATTTTTATACTTTTCTAGTGTATTTTTGACTAATTAAAACCATTATAAATTTGAGGCACATGTGTTGCAAATAAATATGTTTCTTTTTGTACATTTAATGAGTTACGAGACTTGACCAGATTTTTCATCGACAGTTCACGAGACTTGACCAAATTTTTGTTTAAATTACATATATGATATTGGTGTCATATGAAAGATCATAAAAAAATATTTAATTTGGTATAATTTCTATAAAAATTGGAGTAAAAATGAAAAAGTTATGACATTTCATAAAAAAGTAATTACTTGACACATGGCACACTTTTATTGGATGTATAACTAAGGTTGAAATTCCCATGGACAAGAGAATAGCGAGTCTGGAGCTACGGAGGTGCGCATAGCCTTTTTAATTAACGTTGTAATTACACTTAGGGTTAATAAGAAGGCTAAATTTGTCCATTAAGGGTTACATTAAGAAATTTTGGGGGTGCAGGAAGCAACCCCCTTACTAAAAAGACAAAAAAGTGACATGTTTTTCAAAATTCCAAAAATGTGACCAACATCACAATTAACCCTGCGGTGCAAAGTGACTTCGGCTAAAGTGACCCCATCGCCCACAGTGATTGCTCCATCGGCCACAGTGACTGCTCCACAGGTCACAGTGACTGCTCACTTGTCACCGTCACTCCGGCCAAAGTGACTTCCCGCACACCAGCCATAGTGACTGCCCGCCATAGTGACACTGTCGTTAGCACCGCCCAATGATCGTCGTCGCACCGCTTCATCCTGTGACCACCGCCCCTGTCCAGCCCCCACCAGCCACAACCCGATTCAGCCCCATCCCCAACCCAAGCTCAGATTCGTCCCCATCCCCGGCTCAACATAGTTGTGACAACTAGGGGTGGGCACGGCCGGTTAACCAGATTTCGGTTAACCGAATTTCCGGTTAACCGAAATACCCGGTTATTAAATTTTCAATACCGTACTCGTATCATAGCATTGGTTAACCGCGTATCGGTTAACCAAATTTTCGGTTAACCGCTAATCGGTTAACCAATAAACCAGAAAAGCAAAAGATAAAGGCTTGATTATTCTAATTGTTTGTAAATGTTGAACATATTTTTTTTAATTGGGCATGATAACACTTCCACTGATAAATAAATAAATAAATAAATTGAGAAGTAAATGAAGAGTATTATTTTATGTGTATAGTTTTGGACATCTCGCAGGATTCATCTAAGCATATATAAATATGTACGGTGCTAAGCAAAGTAAAAGAAGGAATGAATAATTATAATTACTAAATAAATAAGGGATGATTAATAACACCTATAGAAAAATCTAGAAATATCTCCTTGACCATAATATTGCTCCACGTAAATGATGCCTGCATATCCAGATATCCTCTTGGTAACGGTACGGTCGTCTTCAACTCTTCAACGAAGTATGGACTAACTGGGAAGCAAGAGCATAACTGTAGAGGAAATCAGTATCACACCGTATGATACAATACATATATTATTTGAAATTTTAGTTATTGGTTAACCGATTAACATAATCTTAAAATCCTAACCGTACCGTGAACCGTTTGTTCTCAACGGCCAATTAACCGTACCGTGACTTTTTACAAAATCGGTACGGTTAACTGAAAAATACACCGGTTTTTCGGTTTTTTATTCGGTTAAGCGGTTACGGTATTTTGTGTCCACCCCTAGTGACAACCAGCCCAGCCCTGACCGCCAGAGACGACGGAAATGAGCAGCCCTTCTCCCACCACTGCCCAAACCAGACAATACCAGACCCACCGCACCCTATCAGCCCTACTGCGACCCCCCTAACCCTAGCCGCCACCCCAATTCCGGATCTAGATCTGAAAATCGCCTCTTTGCCCCCTCAACCCCCACGATAGGAAATAAATTGAAGGAGGAGAAGAAGATTGGCGTGTGTATGGTTATGGCAACGGAAGGAGAAGATCAACGCGAACGAGACGGACGACGATGATTCCAGGCGTGGTGGCGAAGCAACGATGGGAGACGGAGACGTCCATGGCAGCGGAGGAAGCGATGGTCTAGCTGTTATGTGCGTGGAGGAGTAGACACTGCACTGTGCGTCGAAAATTGTTGCTGCTCTGTGCCTGGGGTCCATGCGCAGCAAGGACAAAGGAAGAAGGCTGGGTTAGGGAGAGTCATATTTTTGGGAAAAGAAAAATAAGTCATATTTTTGGAAATGGAAAGCTCATTAGTAATATTGAGGCCATTTTTTCGGCTAAAAATGCAAAGGTTGGGGTTTTATTGTTTTTATCCAAGAACCACGCGGGGGGAGCAGCGTCCCATCCTGGTAGCGGGGAGGGAGCAGGGGCAAAGGAAATGAGGTGCTTCTCAGCCACATAAAATTTGCTAAGGGCTATCTCTAGTGCAGCTTGGAGTTCCTTCCTCTCCAAGGCAGTCGCCTCCCTTTCTAGCCGAGCGGCCTCCTGCTCTGCCTTCAGAGCCTCATCGGCCTTCTGCTTGGCCATAAAGACATCTCCATCTCTCGAATTCTCGGACTGCAGGATATACAGTCCGGTCTGCAATAAGAATCAAAATAAGAAACCCTAACGGGGAAGTGAAAGATCTAACAAGGGGAGCAAACATATCAAAAAGCACGTCGTCAGGGCGTTCTCGACGTCTTTGGGGGACGGGCGAGGTAGCAACTGCATCCTCGAATGGAGGGCGAATTCCCTCTAGGCTTCAATTCCCGAGCGGCCGAGTGGAGGCATCTCGGTATCCTGGGCATCAGGGCCAGAGGGCTCAGTGCGGGGCCTCTACCTCTACTTCTCTTTGACCGCACCTGCTCGTTTGGCAGGGGCAGCCCGCAGCGGATCCACATCCTGCACGGGGCCGGAATCACCGGCTTGCCCCTCAAGGGTATGCTCAAGCACGGCCGAGACGATCTGCTTCTTGGCATCCTTGCGCTTGTCGCCCTGGGAATCCGCGAAGGAGTCGGTCCCGAGAATTGGACCGATTGTGTTGTGGCGGCCTTCTCCTTAACAGCACGGGCCTTGGCGTTCTTAACCGCCCGCTCGAGTTTCAGCGCATTTATGCCCATTTGCTTCTGGGTTGGGGGAAGACCTCAAATGGAAAGAGCAATGTTAGAACCGGGTTGTATGAATCCCAAATGATGCTCACCTCAGAAACAGGACCACCCCGGGAGCTCGATACGATTAGAGAGGGAAATTATCATCCCAGAGACACGGGTACCTATTCTTGCGTCAGCAAGCGCCCCGAAGGTGAGGTAATTAAGACTCTAGATGTTCGGAGCTGCCCTCCTTCACTTTGTTAATGGCCTCCTCCAGTCCATCGGTTAAGCGCGGCGGGCCTATCTTCGGTGGATACTCATTCCACCGCTCGGGGAGTTGACCCTCGGGTAAGCGGAGAAAAAAGAAATAGTGTTTCCAATAATGAATGGATGTACGGGCCCCATGGAATAACCTCTGACCGGGTCGGTCATTGACACTCAGGAAAACGTACGAATTTTGGGGAGAAACTTTGAAGAAATGGTGGATAAGATCCAAACTTAGATCTACATCCCTATCT